GGCTTCGTTTTGTTGCTTGTAAGTCAGAACTCAAAACTACTTTCTTAGATTGAAAAAAAATAAAACAGGAGCATGCATGGCAGTACAACGGGTTAAGCCATCACCTGCAGCGCTGGCACCCCATTTGGGTACTGGCCAGTTTGAGCCCCAACTGTTCCACTTCCGATCCAGCTCTCTGCTAACATGCCTGGGAAAGCAGTGGAAGATGGCCCAAGTGGTTGGGCCTCTACACCCACATGTGAAACCTAGAGGAAACTCCTGCCTTCGGCCTGGCCAAGTACTGGCCTTTGCAGCCATTTTGGGAGTGAACTAGCAGGTGGAAGATCTCTCTCTCTCTCTCTCTGCTGTTCCCTCTCTCTTTATAACTCTTTCAAATAAATAAAGTCTTTTTTAAAAAGGAAAAAGAAAAAGTAAAATAAGGCAAAGAGAGGGGTTGGAAATAAAGAACAGAAGGGAAATTGATGGAGCAAGGATCTAGAAGAGATGGGAATGAATAACATCCTGTATTCTGAATTGGCTACTTATAATGGAATAAAATACTATACTCTGAAAAGGGAAGAAAAGAAATATGACTAAGCTCATATGCTAGAAAATAGAAAGTTCAGGAAGTTTGAAAATGATGGATGATGAGTTAAGAATAAGGTAATCATCTAAGAGTTAGGTGTGGCAGAGAGAGGACAAGGAGCTTGGGAAGAATGCTATAGTTCGAAATAATCATTGTAGAGTACAAGAGAATTAATCAAACCCAGCATAAATACACATGGAAGGACACTGGAAAAGTAACTTACTGTTATCAATCTTACTATGCAGAAACACTTGGCCATATGAGTGCAGGACACAAAAGGGCAGGGGAGGCTTACTTACTTAGACCATAGGAAGGCCATTAGACATCAGACCAGCGATTTTGATAAAGCAGAACAGGGACAGTATGAGTAAGGGAGTGAAATAACTAGAGGGTCAGGAGTTTGATAAAGAAATAAGTGAAAATTCAGAACTAGATTGTACTGATAAGGTATAAAACAAAATCAGTTATCAAGGTTAAGGAAACTAATTCTCTATCACATTTTTAAAGTGCAATAAATTCTCTTTTTGGCTAGTATGATTTAAATGTAGTTTTACAAAGATGCAAAAATTGGCATGATTCCTTGAGGTTTTTATCTATTACAGAACAGAGCAGGTTTTTTTTTTTTCCCATGTACTGCCCAAACCCCTCTTCTGTGTAGCACCCAGTCTTCCCCGCCTGTTTGTATAGTGAAACAGGTTCTATCTATAATGTTGCAACTTAGAGCCAGTGCCAGCTAGAAATATTCAATATGGCTGCAGGCTGTGTCCCTACAATGACTTTTAGGTTGTTATAATAAACTTACCATAGCCAACACTCCCATTCCCATCATGCACCCAACACCATGTCACAAAATCTCCTAAAAAACGACCAAGGAAATGAGTAGTCCTCAAGCCTTGCCCTACAATTCCATTCCTTTTGAATATCTGATTAGGTCCTGCCCCAGAACTATGAGGAGTTAGACGGGCTGAGAGGCAGTTAGGTAAGGGCCCTGTTAGAATGGAAAAGGTGGACAAGGTCCCTTCAAAATGAAAACAAACAAACAAAAAAACGCTGCTTCCCTCCTGGGAACGGCCTTTAGCCACACACAGCTTCATCATAAAACCTGGGTATTTGCTGATGCCTCCCTGACCCTGATAACAAGCAATGAGACCAGTGCTGCCTGATTGGACAATAATTTCTACCCTGGGCTCCCTGAGTATCTCCTTGAGTGGCTATTAACCCCTACCTACAAAGACCAATCAAAAGTGTGTATTCCCATAACCCTTTCTTCCCTGGGTGACTTTCTGTGTGACAAGCCCGCACTTGAAAGCAGCAGGAGTAGCTCCTGCCTTGGAGGCCTTCACTTCTGCTCACTCTTGTGTCTGCATGGAAAATTCCTTTTCAGCATGGGACAAGAACCAATGCATTACTCCAGCTGCAACAGAACCATCCCCTATGCCTCCAGTTGGCATAAAAGGATGCCCCTGAACCTTATTGATTACACTTCTCTCTCCGGAGTTTGCCCTCACTCCTTCCTGAATGTGTACTTTTGCTTTGCATGTAATTAAATCTTGCTTTTCTGCTCAGCTTTATCTATGTTTATTTCTTGAATTCCTTCTCATGTAGAGACAAGAACTAGGAGCAACAAGCCTAGACAGGGACCAACCCACAAGTTTCAGAACTACTAAGTACTGAATGCTAAAGAATAATAGATGGGGCCGGTACTACGGCACAGTGGGTTAAAGCCCTGACTTGCAGTACCAGCATTCCATATGGGCAGCAGTTCGAGTCCCGGTTGCTCCACTTCCGATCCAACTCCCTGTTAGTGGCTTGGGAAAACAGTCATCCGCAACCATCACATCCCCCACTCCCTCTCCCACTCCATTCTTGATTAAGATTCATTTTCAATTATCTTTATATACAGAAGATCAACTTAGTATATACTAAGTAAAGATTTCAACAGACTGCACCCAGTTTTTTTGGAAATCTTGTGTCATGGTGTTGGGTGCAATATGGGAATGGGAGTGCTTGGGCTTCCTGGGCCTACATGGAAAACCAGGAAAAAGCTTCTGGCTCTTGGCTTCAGATCAGCTCAGCTCTGCCATTGCAACCATTTGGGGAGTGAACCAGCAGATAGGAGACCTCTCTCTTTCTGTCTCTACCTCTCTCTGTAACTCTTTCAAATAAAATAAATCTTAAAAAAAAAAGAATAGCTATCATACTTCATAAATATACTTATCCTATTTAAAAGTAAAACTAATGAGCCACAACAGTTTATCTTGAACGTTATAAAATACAAACTGAGAAAAGCTTCAGTGGACAGTAACACACAATAAACAAAAGCTTTAAGTTCTCAATCCATACCTCATTATCTTATTGGTTATGCAAATCTCATCTTGAAGTTAAACGATACTCAGGAGGTAATGAATGCAATGAACAGGACTACATCATAAAAGTGGCTCTTAAAATAATAGCACCTATACCTATACCAGGCTCCTAACTCCAGTCAGTGTGGAAACTAAAAGGGGAATTTTAAAGGGAGTACACATTACCTTTCTCTGAAGGGAGGAGAGAACTTCCACTTTGACTATAGCCTTGTCTAAGTAAGATTGGAGTTTATGAACTCAAGAGGCTTCCATAGCCTTGGCAGCTCATGACAAGAACCTCAGGTGATTACTGACGTCATTTAGTGTCAATTGTTAAATCAATAACGGGAGTCACTGTGTACTTACTCACCATGTAGGATCTCTGTCTTTAATGTGTTGTACTATGTGAATTAACGGTAAAACTACTACTCAAACAGTACTCTATACTTTGTGTGTCTGTGTGGGTGCAGTCTGTTGAAATCTTTACTTAGTATATACTAAGTTGATCTTCTGTATATAAAAATAATTAAAAATGAGTCTTGGCCGGTGCCGCGGCTCACTAGGCTAATCCTCCGCCTTGCGGCGCCGGCACACCGGGTTCTAGTCCCGGTCGGGGTGCCGGATTCTGTCCCGGTTGCCCCTCTTCCAGGCCAGCTCTCTGCTGTGGCCAGGGAGTGCAGTGGAGGATGGCCCAAGTGCTTAGTCCCTGCACTCCATGGGAGACCAGGAGAAGTACCTGACTCCTGCCATTGGATCAGCGTGGTGCACCGGCCGCGGCAGCCATTGGAGCGTGAACCAACAGAAAAAAGGAAGACCTTTCTCTCTGTCTCTCTCTCTCTCACTGTCCACTCTGCCTGACCAAAAAAAAAAAAAAAAAGGAAGACCTTTCTTTCTGTCTCTTACCCTCACTGACTGTAACTCAACCTCTCAAATAAATAAATTAAAAAAAAAATGAGTCTTGCTGAAGAATGGGATGGGAGAGGGAGTGAGATGGGATGGTTGCAGGTGGGAGGGAGGTTATGGTGGGGAAAGCCGCTATAATCCAAAAGTTGTACTTTGGAAATTTATATTTATTAAATAAAAGTTGAAAAAAAAAATAAAGGGACCGGCGCTGCAGCTCACTAGGCTAATCCTCTACCTTGCGGCGCCGGCACACTGGGTTCTAGTCCCGGTCGGGGCGCCGGATTCTGTCCCGGTTGCCCCTCTTCCAGGACAGCTCTCTGCTGTGGCCCGGGGGTGCGGTGGAGGATGGCCCAAATGCTTGGGCCCTGCACCCCATGGGAGACCAGGAGAAGCACCTGGCTCCTGCCTTCGGATCAGCGTGGTGTGCCGGCCGCAGCGCGCCAGCCACGGCGGACATTGGAGGATGAACCAACGGCAAGGGAAGACCTTTCTCTCTGTTTCTCTCTCTCACTGTCCACTCTGCCTGTCAAAATAAATAAATAAATAAATAAATAAAATAAAAAATAAATAAACTTAAAAAAAAAGAAAGAAAGAAAAAGAAAGGGAGTACACAGTAGTCCTATGTACCACTACTACAACTAGTATGATGGGGCCGGCGCTGTGGCGCAGTGGGTTAACGCCCTGGCCTAAGGCACCAGCATCCCATATGGGTGCCGGTTCTAGTCCCGGCTGCTCTACTTCCGATGCAGCTCTCAGCTATGGCCTGGGAAAGCAGTGGAGGATGGCCCAAGTGCTTGGGCCCGTGCACCCACATGGGAGACCCAGAGGAAGCTCCTGGCTCCTGGCTCCTGGCTTCAGATCGGCGCAGCTCCAGCTGTTGTGGCCAACTGGGGAGTGACCCAGCGGATGGAAGACCTCTCTCTCTCTTTCTGTGCCTCTCCTCTCTCTGTGTAACTCTGACTCTCAAGTAAAAAATAAAAATAAATCTTAAAAAAAAAAAATGAAAACTAGTATGACACTCTAACATCAACTTCATGTTATCCTGAAACCATATCACAAAATAATATAGTTCTAAAGTTGAAGGAAGAAAAAACCACTTATCACCAGAATATTTTTTCTACTTCCATGAATTTCCCTTATACTTTAACAAATCTCCATTGCTAAAAATGAAAACAAAAAGTCCTTACTTTTTCATTTTTTTTGAGTTGTATTTGACTTGGTAAGCTGCTTGGATGAGTTTGTCTGGACCACCATCAAACTGATGTGGAATGACCTTCTGAAAGTGCTAAGAGAAACACAAGAACTACTCAGTGCCATTTGTTATTAACTAACCAGTAGCAAAATCTAAAGACATTTAAGAAATCATGAACTGACTTACCTGTAACATACCTTCCATGTCAAGTTGCATTAGTTCTGCCTGATTCATTTGAAGAAGCGCTAATCCTACTCGGAAGACTATTTCTAAACCCTGAGGAAACAAAGTCAAATTCATCTTACTCTCTCATAACCAAAAAATAATCATTCAAAATACTACTAACGTAAACATTTAAGGCTCTAAACCAAAATATGGCAAACATTTTCAGTAAAGAGCCAGGCATCAAATATTTTAGGCGTGGTGGTTCTGTCACCAGTAGTCAATTCGCCCAAGATAGCCCAAGAGCAGACACAGACAACACAGAAACAAACGGGAAAGGCTGTGTTCCAAGACAACTTCATTCACAAACACAGATGGAAGGATAGATTTGGCATGAACACCAGGAGAGATCAGTAAATGAATTACAGTTTGCCAATTCCAACTTAAATGTATTATTTAGGTAATTCAAAGTAATTAATAACAATGAACACTGGGTTCAGAGAATAGAAGATAAAGGATCACTACTACATGTCACTGACAAAACGACAACCTGCAATGTGTTCACAGAATAGAAAAAGTTTAATTATACTAATTGCAAGTTTTTCTTACTGTTTGGACAACGGACACATTGTAACAAATTCTACCTCTACTCTCATTGCATCAGGTGATAAAGAGGCTTAAGAGCTGGGTACCAGGGGCCAGTGTTGTGGCATAGCAGGTTAAGCCACTGCCTGCCACACAAGCATCATATATAAGCAGTTTCAAGTCCCAACTATTCCACTTTCCCTTTTTTTTTTTTTTTAAGATTTATTTATTTATTTGAAAGTTACACAGAAAGAGGAGGAGAGGCAGAGAGAGAAAGAGAGGTCTTCCATCTGCTGGTTCACTCCCCAGTTGGCTGCAACGCCGGAGCTGCACTGATCCGAAGCCAGGAGTTTCCTCTGAGTCTCCCACGTGGGTGCAGGGGCCCATATGCTTGGACCATCTTCTACTGCTTTTCCAGGCCATAGCAGAGAGCTGGATTGAAAGTAGAGCAGCCAGGACTCGAACCAGCACCCATATGGGATGCCAGCACCACAGGTGGCGGCTTTACCAGCTACGCCACAGTGCCGGCCCCAGCCGTTCCACTTCTAATCCCTGCTAATGCACCTGAGAAAACACTGGAAGTGTTCAAGTGCTTGGGTCCCTGCCACACATGGGGGAGACCCAGAAAGGAGTTCTTGGCCCCTGGCTTCAGCCTGTTCAAGCCCCAGCTGCTTGTAGCCATTTGAGGAGTGAACCAGTGGTTGGAAGGTCTCTTGTCTTTCCCTCTTTCTCTGTAAGTGTGCCTTTCAACTAAGTAAAATAAATAAATCTTTAAAAAACCACAAATAGCGTGGGCTCCATATTTTAACTGTCTTCGTCTGAATCCTATTTACTTACATACTCTGTGTCCATAGACAAACTACTTGTCCTTCCTTTAAGTCTCAGCTTCCTTATCTGTCATCGAGTAAATGACAGCATCTACCTGACAGGGGTGTTACAAGGTTTAAATGAGATAGCATGCCACATGTGGGCCTCCTTTACTGCTTGCCTCACCGTCCTGCTCTAATTAATTCAACGATCCCTTTGCTCAGTTCCTATTCCAAGTCTGTTCATTAGCTTACCTCAGACATAAAGATATCAAATATCCTTGTTGCAATTGGTAGTGGAAAAGTGGTAAGAAAGATAGTCAGAAACCAGGATGATGCATACATTGAGGTATGAAAACTCTGAGACTGAAAATGTACGAAGAGCTCGGGAAGATGCTCCTAGAAAGGAAGAGACGATGAGTTAAAACACAATAAAACTGAGTACTTTAAATCAAATCACTGTATTTGCACTAGGCTAGGCCATTCCAAACACATGGACAAAATCAAGCACCATATGGAAAAGCTAAACAGAAAAGCTAAGATGTAGTAACTACTATCTGGGAAGAAACAATGAAGTGACATCAGTGTCACGGTATCGTTGAGTATCCTGTAAGAGAACTCAGACTATATTTCTAATAATACTACATAATGCTACAAAACAAAGAAACACATATTTAGGTTACAGGTTTATAGTACCTTTGGAACAAATGCTTAAGGTCTGAATGTAAAAGCTGCAGTCAAGCTGCAGACTGATCTACCTGTAGATAGAGCAAATTTGGAAGCAGGTCTACTTTTATGTTAACTAATCCACAAATGATCATATAATTAAAACACTGACTTTTTTTTTCAACTGTTGTAAGGTTTTAACACCACATTTGTTTAGTTTTCACTCAGACTAAGAGGACAAAATATAGACATGCAATATGCCTGTTTGTTAAACTTTACTTTTACCTGTATCATGCATTCAAACTGGTACATACAAAGGCCCAATTCTGCCATACTTGGTTTAAAAAGTTCACGAAGTCTATAGTCTTGCATTAATTTAACAAATACACAGAAAGCTTCTTCTTCTGGCATCTACATTAGGAGAATAAAAGTAACACAGGTTAATGTTCTGTGATATACAAATAAGCCAAATTATATTTAAATCAAGTACTCATCCAACCACATGTACCACTTGGAGTGGCCATGTGATGCAATGTTAAGAGCAATGGACTAACAATCAGAAGATTCCAGTCTCCCATTCTATGAGCAAAGATGAGAAGTTAGACCAACCCTACACCTCTCTGTGACTGCCTCAACTTACCTAACTCAGTTACCCAACCAACACACACTCATGTTGGGCTAGATTTTTTTCTCTCTCTCTCTCGGTATACACTAGTGAATAAAATAAACATGACCTTCATTCTAAAGGAGCTTGAACTTTCTAGTAGGGGGACACAGACAATAAGTGGAACAAATCAGATAACTGATAAGTCAGATAGTGATGAGTGTTATGGAAAAAAAAGTTGGGTAACAGGAAATGCTGAGGCGATACACTGACATTTATGTAGGTCAGGGATGGTCCTTAGATTAGGTAACAATTCAGCAAAATCTTGAAGGACAGGATTTTCTCTGTGAGGAAAGAATATTCCCAGAGGACAGAACAGTCACAGGCTCCTAAGATGGAATCACACCTGGCACACGCAAGGAACAGTAAATAGGGGATTACTAATCAGAAGTGACGTTACGAGGGGAGGGGAGGTTACAGAGGACAAACGACAGGGAAGCAGGATGCCTTGGGCTGATTTTACCTCAGTGATGGGAAACTTTTTTGAGAATTCTGAGCAGAAGAGATGTCCATGATATGGGTAAACATTAAAAGAATTTCTGAGTTTTCAAATTATTTGTAATTGGAGTTTCAATGTACCAGTGATATATTTTATGTATAAATCACTAGGAAGATATATCAAATAAGAGAATGAGTGTGAAATCTTTATAAAGAGCTACAAAGACATTCAGATTATTTAGGCAAATAACATTAACCAAACTGGTAAGTCAGTTTTCTCAAAATAATAAAATTTGGTAGTTCTCATTCATTAACAATAACCCAGTGTGTTTAAAAAGAGAACATCCCAAAGGATGTCTAGGCCTTCCTCTTACTAAAGACTGTTGCAGGTAACATGACCTTGACACTCTGGGAGAAACCTGCACTTCCCTCTTCCCAATACACACAGCGACATTCTGCCTTGCAGACCATCCCTTTTCATCCTATCAAGCCCTACAGCCCCATTTAGTTATTTCAATCACCACAAGAAGCCTAATACCCCAGAACTCTGAGCCCTATAATGTTCCATTGTTTCCCTAATCTGGCCCTATTTACAGTCTTCACCTGTATTTTAATGTCTTTTCCAGATGTTCTGGTCTTTCTTTAGCTGAAATCTGGCTCTCCCCCTAAGGTGGCTGTTTTCTCTCCCATAGCGCTGAAAGGGCCAGGGCTTAGCGAGGTATATGTCCCTCCTTGAACCTCTTAGCCACTTCCACAGCTTAACTTCCCCTTCTGTCTGAAACACATGCCAGCAGATACTACCCATTTACTCCTCATTTTTGTAGCTTCCATAAACACTCAAGTCACTCTCTGGCCTGGCAAATATCTCTCATTTCCTTTCCTCCAAGTGCCTGGTAGGCAGTTACTAGCTCAGGCTCTAGAGCCACATCAAAAGCTGAAATCCCCGTTTCTCCACTTAATAAATCTGTGACCTTGGACAAATTATTTAACATCTCTGTTGCTCACCTTCATCACCTATCCCCAGTGGGTAAAACAACAGTATCTATTCCACAGGGCAGCAATGAAGTAGTCACAATTATCTAAACTTGTCAGGCCTGAAATTCACTTATACCTTGCCAGGCCAACACAATGTTTTCTGTTTCAACACTTCCATGCTCACTTTGCTGCTTGTCCTGTTTTATTTATTCACTAGCTTAAATCCACAATTACTTTGGTTTTTCTCTCCAATTCTAACTGGCAAAACTCCACCCTTGGATAAATCCAAGCCTACATCTATATTTAGGCAGCTGGAGAAAAATAAAAATAAAACACTAACCATGCTGGCTGGTCTCATTCTGAATTCAGGGCTACTCATCTGGAAGAGGGAGTAGGGAGTAGGAGATGGGATGTTTTGCAGGTAGGAGGGAGGTTATAGGGGGAAAAACCACTATAATCCAAAAAATTGTACTTTCAAAATTTATATTTATTAAATAAAAGTTTTCTAAAAAAATAAAAGTCTAAAAAAAGATAATTAAAAATGAATCTTAATGAAGAATGAGATGGGAGAATGAGTAGGAGGTGGGACAGTTTGGGTGTAGGAGGGCGGGTATGGGGGAATAACTGCTATATTCCAAAAGTTCTATCTATGAAATTTATATTTATTACATAAAAGCTTTTAAAAATAATTTTGGCTTTTATTGGAGATAGGGGAAGGCAATAGAGTACTTTGAGCAGTGGAGTGAAATGATCCATCATTGTCTCTACCAAGGGCCATTTGGATACTTTTAACATTATTCCTGGGCCATATAAAATTATCAACTTAAAAATGAGCCTGCAGAGGACTGGTGCTGTGGCTTAGTAGCCTAAGCCTCAGCCTGTGGGAGCTGGTATCCCACAGGGGTGCAAGTTCTTATCTGGGCTGCTCCTCTTCTGATCCAGCTCCCTGTTTCTGGCCTGGGAAAGCAGTGGAAAATGGACCAGGTGCTTGGGCCCTTGCATCCATGTGGGAGACCCAGAGAAAGCTCCTGGCTCCTGGCTTCAGATCAGTCCAGCCTCAGCCATTGCACCATTTGAGGAGTGAACCAATGGATGGAAGACCTTTCTCTTTTGTCTCTCTCTTGTCTCTCTCTCTCTCTCTCTCTAACTTTGCCTCTCAAATAAATAAGCAAAATCTTTTTTTTAAGTTATCTTTTCTAGGTGTATAAAAGATTCATGTCCCTTTTCCCTTTGCAATAGCATTGATATGAGAACTGGAGGAGATTTTTTTTTTCTAAATGGTAATATTTTTAAAAATAAGTTGAGGGATTGGATAAAAGGACAAAAGGAAATAGAAAAAAAATATTATCACTAGGTCCTTCTCAAAAAGACAGAAATAACGGTGACAAAATGAAAAAGTGTCATATCAAGAGTGATACACATAGGGGGCCAGCTCCATGGTGCAGTAGGTTAATCCTCCACCAGCATCCCATAAGGAAGTGCAGTGCCAGCATCCCATAAGGAAGCCAGTTCTAGTCCTGGATGCTCCTCTTCCAATCCAGCTCTCTGCTATGGCCTGGGAAAGCAGTAGAAGATGGCCCAAGTCCTTGGGCCCCTGCACCCGCATGGGAGATCAGGAAGAAGCACCTGGCTCCTGGCTTCAGATTGGCACCACTCCAGCTGTTGTGGCCATTTGGGGAGTGAACTAACAGAAAGAAGACCTCTCTCACTGTCTGTAACTCTACCTCTCAAATAAATAAATCTTTAAAAAAAAACATTGATACATATAAATATGAAGATCACAGTTGTTTAATAATCATTTCTATTATAAAAAAATTCAAGACACTTGTGTCAGAGAGCAGCATGCTGCTAAACATGTTCTCTGTGACACTGAGCTGATAAGAATCCATGCCAAGCTTCTACATACCTCATGTCACCCTTGAAATGAATCTGAAAGTAAATTGTATTTATCTAAGGAGAGCTCAAAGATAGGTTAAACAATCTAGCCTAAGTTCACAGAGCCAGTGCAGAACCGAGATAGAAAATGCAGTCTGCATGACTCAAATGTTTAATGGGAACAATATACCTAATTTTATAGGGAAGTTAAAATACACAAAACACACACACACTCATAGCACTTTTAACCATGTTAACAAAACATTTACTAACTCAAAATTTTATTAGACTCTGAGTTAACATTTCTAAGCCAAAGTTGTGGGAGACATCACGGCATGGGGTATAAAAGAATAAAGTTTAGAAACAAAGTGAGGAGCTTAGTGAATCTGGTTCCCTCACATTTTCTACCTTATAGTATTAACATTCGCAATTAGTTTTATATTGTATTATTTATAACCTAAGTTCATTTACAAATGGAAAAATATCCTGCAACAACCACTGAAAATAGCTTTTATAGCACAGAGTAAAAATTGGTCATTTTTATCATAAACAAGCCATCTCTGACATCAGGTTTATGCTACTCACAAATGCAATGTAAATATTCTTGACAGCTACAGAGTTTTGAAATTCAGGCGGAACAGCAGGGAAATTAAAGTAAAGCATCAGGAAACACGAGTTTCTGATGCCTACTCTGCCTTTTTTTTTTTTTTTTCTTTGACAGGCAGAGTGGACAGTGAGAGAGAGAGACAGAGAGAAAGGTCTTCCTTTGCCGTTGGTTCACCCTCCAATGGCCGCGGCCGGCGCACCACGCTGATCCGATGGCAGGAGCCAGGAGCCAGGTGCTTTTCCTGGTCTCCCATGGGGTGCAGGGCCCAAGCACCTGGGCCATCTTCCACTGCACTCCCTGGCCACAGCAGAGAGCTGGCCTGGAAGAGGGGCAACCGGGACAGAATCCGGCGCCCCAACCGGGACTAGAACCCGGTGTGCCGGCGCCGCTAGGCGGAGGATTAGCCTAGTGAGCCGCGGCGCCGGCCCCTACTCTGCTTTTATCCACCAAAATATGTGATCTTGAGCAAGTCACTGAATTTCTATTGGGTATCTCCTGGGTGCTAAACACCATGCCAGACTCCTACAAAGCTCATGTGACTCTCGAAATGAGTCTGAAAGTAAATCATACCATCTTAGGAGACCTCAAAGAGAGGTAAACAATCTAGCCTAAGTTCACAGAGCTAGTGCACAACTGAGATATAAAACCCAGTCTGTATGACTCAAATCAACTTGTCCCCACGGTTCCTTTCAGGACACAAATTCTGACACTGGATTAAGAGTAAAGTGGACTTTTAAAAAAGTTTGAATGAGACTAAAGAGATAATATTGCATATTATTTCCCTTCAAAGCTGTAACTCTCTTCCCCCTGAATTCTGAAACCTACTCAAAAATAAATCACTGCAAATGTTATCTCCCTGGGCAGAAAAGTAGCTTGAGAGACACTATTTAAAAGCATACAGCAAGATATGTGTAACAAATAAAATGGCAAATCAAATTCCTGTACTTTTTTAAATGTTACAGAACAAAAATAAGATTTACATACTAATACTTTCACCATGGCCTGCTGGGCTGAGAAAAGATTAGTTCTAATTAAATGCTGACTAGTAAGTTAAGTTTTAAAAGTAGATATAGCCTTTAGCAGAATATTATGGTACAAATGTATATACCAAGAAGTTCAAATTTCATTTGGTGGCAATGAAGTAACACCTTGACAGTAGGGACTCCATTTTGGAGCACTTGAGACTCCATTCTGGGAAGGTGCCCCCCCACACCGTGAGACTCTGGTCTGAAACTATGATCTAAAACAGTTGAACATCACACTTGGCAGAGCACAGAAACCCCCTAGCATGATCGCTCAAGCTTGGAAGTGGATAGGCCACACCTGGATTAACGTCGATTATAATTGGAATTGTTAAGATTGTAACTGGTATTGTCAAGATTATAATTGATACTAGTTTCACATAGGTTTTAGGTCAGCTTGACCCCGGTAACCATGTATTCCCCCTGTTCCTAGCAACCATGAATTCCCCTCCCGATTTTGCGGTTTTTGCCTTTATAAACCCTGTTGCTTTGGGCTGCAGGGTCGAGAGTTCTTTAGGGCATGAGCCCACTCTCCACCGCTGGCAATAAAGGACCATCAAATTTTATCAATGTGTGGAGTGCCTTTGTTTGCACTCCCTCAGGTACAACAGCAAAATAATATTATTTTATATTATTTTAACACTTTAATCTCTTAAAGTGCAAACTAAATATCAGGATTCAAACTATGTCTATAGAAAAATGCTCAAATATAAGTAAACATTTATACTTAACAAAACAAAGATAACTTTTAAATTCTCCAATGCAGCTTTGAAAAAGAACTTAATTGGACATTTAACTTGACTTACCTGCATAAGCAACAATCCAACTATAAAAGCACTTCCTTGACAGTAACCAACTTCACGATCCACTAAAGAATATGCCTAAAATGTGAAAAAATACTGTTCATAATACTTCAGCATGATATATTAGACTTCCTTCTTCAAAAAACCTAAAATTGTTGAGACAGGTAAATTAAAAGATCATTTGTCTTTTAGAAAAGCTCTTCTTTGCTTATTTAGGTATTTTCCTATAAATACCCTAAAAGCAACAGTTTTTTTTATTACATAAAATCTTCTTTTGATAATTTCCGAATTAGAAATAAGCAGCTCCTTGGGGCCAGCACTGTGGTGTAGCAGGTAAAAGCTGCTGCCTGCAGATCCAAGCATCCCTGTGGGCGCCAATTCGAGACCCAGTTGCTCCACTCCCGATCCAGCTCTCTGCTGTGGCCTGGGAAAGCAGTGGAAGATGGCCCAAGCCCTTGGGCCCCTGCACCTGCGTGGGAGACCCGGAAGAAGCTCCAGGCTCCTGGCTTTGGATCGGTGCAGCTCTGGCCTTTGTGCCCACTGGGGAGTGAATCAGCAGATGGAAGACCTCTCTCTCTCTGCCTCTCTTTCTCTCTCTGTGTAACTCTGACTTTCAAATAATAAATAAATCTTAAAAAAAAAAAGGAAGGAAGGAAGGGAGGGAGGGAGGGAGAGAGGGAGAGAGGGAGGGAGGGAGGGAGGGAGGGATGGAGGGAGGGAGGGAGGAAGGAAGGAAGGAATTAGCAGCTCCTGAGGACAAAAAAGAGGGAAAAAACATCAAGGGATCTATATTCACAAAGGTAATGGAGCTTTAAAATCAAGTCATCTGTGTAACTGATAAAGATAAAATTAGGTTAAGGTAAACCACTGGAAAAACTGAAATGGTTTAAAAAGAAATTGGTATTTCATAAAGTTAGCTAGAAGAGAAAGAAATTATGAAAAGGGACAAGGCAATACTAAAGAAAAAAATTACATTATACCTTTTAAAGGCTGGGACTCTTAATGCAAGCAGGAAAACTGCTGGCCAAATGCATGCAGCCATGACAGGAGAAACCCACAGCCCAGAAGGGAGCCTCTCAGAAGCTGAATCATCCATCTCCATCAAGGATCTCCCTATGCACATGACCCATACATTCTTTCATTTCCAACAGCTAATGCTGAATAAGGTGATAAATTTTCTAATAAGTTCTCCAAACTGGACAGTAACACAGCATCAGAATTAACACAGAAATTATGCTAAAATCAATTTTATTGCCAAAGTAACTAATTACTGTGGTGGGACTTCATGTATCACCATGGGAAGTGTGTAATTTCAGTCTTATAAGAATTCATTTCATTTTTTAAAAATGAATGAACAGAACTTACCTTCATTACATTAAATAAAACCTCCTGCCCAAGGCTATCTTTTTCCTTAAAAAAATTGTGTTCAGGATATGTTCTAGCAATATCCCTTCGGATCAATTTTTCACAAGGTGAGGTCATTTTCAGGAGTTCTGAATACTGATCCTTAATCGGCATACTTTGTGCACTGCATAAAAGTTGCCAAACTATTGCTCTAAAGTGGTGGGGTATTCCTTTACGAACAAGTTCCTAAAAGTAAAAAATAAAATAAAATAAAATTTTAAAAATGAATTATTTAAGTTTCTTACCTTGCAAGCCAAAGACTACTTCCTGGGGGGTTGGAGTGGAGAGTGAGAATTATCAAATTTATGACTCACAAAACTAGTTTAATACTATTTATAGCTAAGACTAGGCAGTCTTTTAAGCCAGACTAAGATCTGGGTGTATGTTGGGTGTATTCCATGTACGTGTGTCGCAGGGGTGGGGTGGGGAGTGCAATGCCATGGGTAAATTCTGGTCATTTCAGAGTATGCCTCTGAAGGTATCAGGGACTTGAAAACCTGTGGAGCTGTGGTTAATGGCACAGGACACTTCAAAAGGGCTTACTAAAGGCAAAAAAGAAAAATATTGATATAAGATGTAGACAATTTATTAATTTTCAGCTAAATATTTCTATATTTTCAGAAGCTCTATAACAAATGATAAGTAGAAATCAAAATCCCTGAGCACAAATAAAATATATAAAGCAGATATCCTTACTATATATTATGGAAATTACTAGAATCTGTTGGCCTTTTTCCCTTAATGCTCTATTAATCTATGCCTGATGTACTTTGAGAAAAGGGGAAAAACTTCAACAGAGAACATGCATACCTTAACTTGCTTTTCCTTCTTTTTGCGCACATCTTCCCATTCATTAACAATTCTTCCCCAAAGAATCCAGGAGTCTTCCTCAAGGTGGCTGAGGTTGCTAGAGGCTGATGAACTTGACACAAGAGAGGAGCCACTGTTTCTTCTTGACCCATTTACAGATCTTAAAGACTTACTGTCCGTCTCTAACAATCTAAAATATAATTAAAAAGTTCAAGGTCTCACCTCACAGTTATGCTAGAAGTAGCGATGACATCTAGAGCTTTAGTATCACAATTTTTTATTTATTTTTAAAGCTTTTGTTTAATGAATACATTTTTCATAGGTATGACTTCAGGAATATAGTGATTCTTTCTCCCATACTCACCCTCCCAACCCAAATCCCATTCCACCTCCTACTCCCTCTCCCATCCCCTTCTTCATGATGGTTCATTTTTAGTTTAATTTTACAGAGGACCAACTCTATGTAAAGTACAGAGTTCAACAATTTCCACACACACACATACACACACAAACATATAAAGTACAGTGTAAGAACAAGTTTTGCAGTTAATTCTCATAGTACAACTCGTTCAGGACAGAGGTCCTATGTGGGGAGTAAGTGCACAGTGACTTGTTTTGTTCCTTTAACAATTAACATTCTTATTTATGATGTCAGTGATCACCCGAGGCACTTGCCATGGGCTTCCAAGGCTATGGAAACCTTTTGTGACCACTTGAACACGGCCATAAGCAAAGCAGAAGTTCTCTCCTCCCTTCAGAGAAAAGTAGTAACACAATTTAGCCCTTGCTTTCAGTTATGGCTTTTATAACATGCACAATTTTGATCATTTCTGGCTGGCATCAATAAAATAACTGCTGTATTTTGCACCTATAATATAGCAGTTCCCATATTTCAATCAGAAAATTATGAGGACTATCTTAGCTCTAGTAAAATTTCCCTTAGTCTCCATTAAAAAGTCAAAATAGGAAATACTGGGTTAAAAAAAAAAGTGTTTGGGCAGGCTTGAGAAAAAAGATAACATATCACTTGAAAAGGAACAATAAATTCTGTGGAACTATTAATTCTGTCATATTTACAAAGGGGCTTAAAAAGTAATGCAGACACAGAAGTTAACCAAATCTCTTTTCTTTTCCCACTTCTTTCACACATGCATAACATAACTAATCTTCACAAATAAAGTGTTTTGTTTGGCCTATGTAGTTTTTGGGTTAAAAAAAAACAACAACATTGGCCGGTGCCACGGCTCACTTGGCTAATCCTCCGCCTATGGCACCAGCACCCCAGTTGGGGCGCCAGATTCTGTCCCGGTTGCTCCTCTTCCAGTCCAGCTCTCTACTGTGGCCCGGGAAGGCAATGGAGGATGGCTCAGGTCCTTGGGCCCTGCACGTACATGGGAGACCTAGAGGAAGCACCTGGCTCCTGGCTTTGGATCGGTGCAGTGCGCCGGCTGTAGCAGCCATTTACGGGGTGAACCAATGGTAAAAGGAAGACCTTTCTGTCTCTCTCTCACTGTCTAACTCTGCCTATCAAAAACAAACAAACAAACAAACAAAGCACTGTTACTGATAATAAAACTGGAAGATTTCATGCATTTGTTTACATACATCTACATTTTATTTATCACTCCAGATTCTGTTGAAAAATAAAAAGGGCAAAAATAAGGCTCATGTTGCTGCACAGAAAAACAAAGGATGGCTGAGTAGAAGTGTCTTCTTTTAGATGAGGGTGGACTTTAACCCTCCCAGTCTCTACAGTCTCTGCTGCATTCCCACAGCTCGCCCATCTACAGCTGCTGTTTATGACTGGGCTTGTTTTGTTATCCTGGGACCTCTTCACTCCCAAGACTTGAGCTTGCAATCCTGTTTCAGGCCTCTTCCTTTATCTGCAAAGATAACTGCGAAGATTCATGCCATGACTCATAACAGCATTTAAGTCCTTTCTTCTATATGCACAGGCTACAAAGGAAAGTTGGAAAATGTGGCTCTATCACTATAAAGATACAGATTATGTGTCATTCAAATAATAAGTGTCCCAAAGTGTCTATATGTGTATTTAACATGCCTACTACTCATTTCCAGTAACTTCTTCAGAAACAGTCACCTGCTTAGAGTACAATAAATACTCCCAATAATATTTTATTAGATTGAAAATCTGAGAAAGAAGAGAAATATATGAACCAAATACAATTTAGCAAATTATAGAACTACCCTTTTGGGGAGTCAAATTTATAATTTACTCATCTTTATCTCCCTTAGGACATTCAGCTCAGTGTAAAGTATATTAAATATTTACTGAATTGAAATAAAATCTTAATTCCATATTTAAGAAAAAACTACCAAATTCCAGATAGATCATACTGAATAACATTCAACAAATGCAAACAAACAGAATTCAATAAACACTAGAAAAGTTTTAGACTTTTAGACTGAGAAAAAAATATTTCCAATGCATGTATCTGACAAAAGGCTGGTATCCAAAATACATGAACTCTTAAAACCAATCATTAAGAAGCCAAGCACTACATTTTTTAAATGAATAACTAACTTAAAATGATCTTTCCAAAACAAGACAAATGGCAATAAGCACCTAAAAAATGTTCGTCATCGTTAGTCACCAGGGAAGTGCCAGTTAAAACCATACTATGTACACATTAGAACAGCGGAAATTCTAAAGACTGACCACACCAGATGTCTGCCGGGACGGGAACAACTGCAGCTCTCATAAATCAATGCCAGAAAGTGAAAATGGTACGACCCCTCTCAAGAACTATTAGGCAATCCCTTACAAAGTTAAAAGGAAATGAAAGAAAACACGTATCCATAAAATGCTTACAGTTCAAAGTTCAGAGAGGTTTCATCCATAACACCCAAAACCCAGAAAACAAAACCACCCAAATATCCAGAAACTTAAATGTTAACATTGTGGTATTATTCATTCATCACAATACTACTCAGCATTAAAAAACCAAACTGCTGATGAAAGTATCAACTTAGATTGAGTCCGATAGAAGTTAAGTTCAATGAAAAAGGCCAAAATCAAGAGTATATACTATATGACTCAATTTATATGAAATATAAACATAGCAGAAGAAAATATAGGAAAAACCAAAAGCACATGTGATCAAAAAAAATCAGAATTCATCAAATTAACAACATTTTGTATTTCACTAGTTACCATCAAGGAAGTGAAAAGACCACCCACAGAATGGGAAAAATATTGTGAATCACAAGAAACTCACATCTACATTTTTTTAAAAGATTTACTTATTTATTTGAAAGTCAGAGTTACACAGAGGAGAGGCAGAGAGAGAGAGGTCTTCCGTCCGATGGTTCACTCTCCAGATGGCTGCAACGGCCAGCGCTGCGCCAATCCAAAGCCAGGAGCGAGAAGCTTCTTCTGGGTCCCCCACGTGGGTGCAGAGGCCCAACGACTTGGGCCATCTTCTACTGCTTTCCCAGGCCATAGCAGAGAGCTGGGTTGGAAGAGGAGCAGCCGGGAATAGAACCAGTGCCCATATGGGATGCCGGCACTTCAGGCCAGGGTGTTAACCCACTGCGCCACAGCACCAGCATCCCACATCTACATTTATTTATATACACATATATGTGTGTATAAATAACTCTTGGAAATGAATAAAAAAAGATAATCACATTTAAAAATGTACAAAAGGCACCAACTTTGTGGTATAGCGGATAAAGCCACTACCTGCATCCCATATGGGCGCTGGTTCAAGTACTAGTAGCAGCTCCCTACTAATGACCTGGGAGAGCAGAGGAGGACAGTCCCAGTACATGGGCCTCTGCACCCCGAGACTCGGAAGAAGCTACAGGCTCTTGGCTTCCAACCAGCCCAGCTCCAACCACTGCAGCCATTTAGAGAGTGAATCAGAAGACAGAAGATCTCTCTCTATCCCTCCATCCCTCTCTGTAACTCTGCCTTTCAAATAAATAAATAAATCATTTTAAAAAAAAAGATCTAAGTAGACATTTCTCCAGAGAAGATATGCAAATGGTCAACAGAAACATGAAAATATATTTGACAGCACGAATCACCAGGAAAGTACAAATCAAAAGTACAATGAGATGCAACTTCACAACCACTAGGATGGTTATATCAGAAAGATAAATAATAAGTGTTTGTGAGAACAAGGAGCCAATGGAACTTTGTCATATACTGGTGGTAGAAATATAATATGGTGTAAAACTTTGGAAAACAAGTTCCTCAAATGGTTAAACAGAGAATTACCACCACCCGCTACTCCTAGATACATATCCAAAAGAAATGAAACGTGTAATATTGTGCAGCCATGAGAAGGAACGAAGTTCAGCTACATGCTACAACACAGATAAACTTTGCAACATCTTGCTAAGTTAAAGAAACTAATCACATCGCTTCTCGGCCTTTTGGCTAAGATCAAGTGAAGAAACTAATCACAAAAAGACAAATACTGTATGATTACATATACATGAAATGTCTAGAAGACAGAAATAGATTAGTTACAGTGAGGACTAGGAGGTGAGGAGGTGTGCTGGGATGGGCAGTGCTTACTAATGGTGTTTGGCTTCTCTCTGGGGTGATGAAAAAGTTCAAAAATTGACTGCATTGACAGTTGTACAATTCTGTGACTACAATACTAACAACTGCGCTAAACATTTAAAGTGGATTAGTTGTATGGTATATGAATATCTCCATAAAGTTGTTAAATAGGAATAAAAAGGTAAAACATATGACTAGCAATAAAAATCAGAAAAAAGTTTCGAAGTGTTGGGTTTGCTATAAAGGATACAAAGCAATATTCTGGGATGGTGCACATTTTTTAAGATGATAAGTTTCTAAGTCTAAACAGGAATGTAAAGTATACACAAGTAGAGACATTTGTCAAAACAAACTGTACATTTATAAACTATATATGTCTATGCAAACTGCTCATCAATTTTTAAAAAAGACTTATTTTGGGGCCAGTGCTGTGGCCTGGCGGGTAAACTTGCTGCCTGCAGTGCCAGCATCCCATATGGACACTGGTTTGAATTCCAGCTGCTCCACTTCCAATCCAGCTCTCTGCTATGGGCTGGGAAAGCAGAAGAAGATGGCTCAAATCCTTGGGCCCCTGCACCCATGTGGGAAGACCCAGAAGAAGCTCCTGGCTCCTAGCTTCAGACTGGCGCAGCTCTGGCCATTGCAGCCAACTG